TGAGACATGTTCCGTGTTTACAGGTGCAAATAAGCATACACAGACAAGCAGAAACACACACACCCCACACGCACAACAAAGATTCACAGAGAGAGAGAAAGAGATTCACACAAATACACACACACACACACACACACACACACACACACACAATTCCAAACAATACAATCCAATACAACACTATAAAAAATATACACTAACATTAATTCATTAAAAAATACAAACAAAGAAATAAATACACAACTATATGGCAGAAAAACATACCAAATTTTTTATTATACAGAGATTAAAAATACGCAAATAATACCAAATATACCGTAGTTACATTCGGTAAAAAAAATTTACTGATTAAAAACACTTATCTAGGTATGTAAAAAGACATGTACAAATGTATGAAACACTTACGTTGTATACCTGTACAATACGCAATACACACACACAACACACACACATACACACACACACAAACAATACACATACATACACACACAACACACGTCAATACACACACACACACACGCCAATGCACACACACACACACACGCCAATGCACACACACACAATCCAATCATAATTCATTAAATTTTGTTCTCCAGTCCCGCGTGCAACAACCTCGGTTACTTGATGTTAGTTGGGAGGTAGGTAGGAGGAAGAGGAAGAAGAGGGGGCCTAAATGAAGTGAAGGCAGACCCTCTAGGGTACCATCCATCATAAAATGAGACCTCAGTAAACAAAAAAAAAAACAACGTTTACCACAACAATAATAACATTTAGAGTGAGAAGATTAGGAATAATAATATTAATAACGATACTAACAATGATAATACTGAAAATATTAAGAATAAAAATAATAATAAAGATAATGATGATGACGATAGTGATGATGATGATGATGACAACGACGACGATGATGATGATGGTGGTGGTAATAATGATGGTGATGATGATGGTGGTGGTAATAATGATGGTGATGATGATGGTGGTGGTAATAATGATGGTGATGATGGTGATGATGACGATGATAATAGATAAAAAAATAAAAAGGATGATGATGAACCTCTTCTTTCTCTGGATTCAATTTTAAGGGAAATAGATGAGGGAAAAAGATTTCGCGTGTCCTTATCAATATACCGCCCTTTATAAATACAAATTAAAATAAATAAACATGAATGTACGCACACTAACACAAACATACGCACACAGACACACACATACATTCATATAATAAGAAATAAAAAGAGAGAGAGAAAAAAAGAGAGAGAAAGAGAGAACAATAAGAAAAAGAGGAATTTTTCACTATGTAATCACGTGAATGTGCAATTGTGCATTGAAGTGGAAACCTTTAAAATGAATTATTATCTGTATATTTACTCCTGCAAACAAATTATTCTTACAGGTTGTGTTACAAAATTGATAACTCCTTGCTGGAATCGGCAAAAAGTTAACAAAAGAGATTCGTAGCAACAATTGAACGACAACGCGCGCGCAAGATGAAGAGCAATGAGCAGCAACACTTTCAACGTCATCAGCATCATCACAATCAACAACAACAACAACATCACCAACAACATCATCATCCACAACAACATCTTCATCGTTCTCATCATCAACATAAACAACATCGCCATCAACGACAACAACAACGCGTTTACGTTGGGATCATTGGCTGTGAAAGCATCCTTTCAAGCTTGATGATCTTCTTGTTAAAAGTTTCAACGTTTCGAAGTATGGCAGCAGCTCCATCAACCACAGCCACCCATCACTTCATCGAGGAAAAAGAAATAAACCTCTTCATCGGTTAGTTTACATTAATAGGAAATAAATAAATCCGCTTCAGAAACTTTTTATTAATAATTTCTTTCCAGGAGAGTCTTCAGAAAACATGGAGGGCAGCGATAAACAGAATATAACGTTCAAGATCATTCAACAGAGTCTCAACAGCAAATATCCTGACAAAATCCAATCTGACTATTTTCGTGTAGACGAAAGGACTGGATACCTATATTCAAATAAAGTCATAGATAGGGAACTCATATGCTCAGGAGCTAGTCAGTGCACTATAACCTTAAGCATGATGATGATTTTAGGAGGTCACGTAAAAACGGGAACAGTGGCGATTGAGATCGTGGACATTAATGACAACGCTCCTCAATTTCCTCATCCGGTTTTTTACTGCAACATTTCGGAATCTGCTGAGCCAAACATTGCAAAACTTGAAATACCTTCAGCCAAAGATGCAGACAGTTACCAGTTCAACATTAGAAACTTCTACCTCGAGCCGAGCAGCACGGTTTTTGATCTACACAGCGAAGAAGTGAATGGCGAGTTCAACCTCAAACTAATCTTAAAGTTTGAATTTAATAAATTTAAAAAATAATATTTTGTATAAATATAATAAATCAATAAAAAGTTAAATCAAATAGTGGCATAAGTTTAAACAGACAACTTTGCGAGTTTGATTGAATTGACAAAACGTCACTGTGATATCACCACATATTTAAACATTTCAGGACAGCTTTGGATCGAGAAGCAACCAATCAATACAACTTCACAGTTCATGCAGTCGACAAAGGAGAAAAGATGGGCTCCATGAAGGTGATTGTTAATGTCTTGGATGCAAATGACAATGCACCAATTTTTGAAAAGCAGGAGGAATATTTTAAATTGGTTAAGGAAGATACAGCAGTTGGAACTGTCCTAGTCAAGGTTGTCAATTTGACGAAAAAGCAATATAATGTGAATGAAACATGTGTCATTTTAAAATTTCAGGTTAAAGCTCATGATCTGGACGAAGGTAAAAATGGAGAAATTGTGTACAAATTTATTGATCACGCGCACAAAGAATTCGAAAATCTCTTTAAAATAGATAATCGAACGGGGGAAATAATTCTGAACGATACATTAGATTTTGAAAGAACACAAACATACAGGTTGTCTGTGACAGCACGAGACCTAGGTCCCGACGCCTTGCTCACTCACACAACGGTCGTTATTAAAGTTGAAGACGTCAACGATAACGCCCCACGTATTAAGCTTAACTCCATACACACGTCTATCGATGCAATCTATAGCAAATTTAAAGATGAAAAGAATTTTAAAAGTTTTGGCAAAAAAAATCAAAAATCTAAAAACGATGTGATGGACAGGCACAATGATAGAGTTGAAACTTTTTCAGGTTATCACAGCGGCAGCAACAACACGGCTTTCTCTGTATTTGAAAATAAGGATGTGGTGCAGTTTGTAGCTCACGTGTCTGTAACAGACGCTGATAGCGGCGACAATGCAAAAACAAGTTGTTACTTAAAAGAACCATTCGACTCGTCTTTATATCCGAGACACGAGAGTAAATTTAAACTGGATCAACTTTATGACGCAGATTTCAAACTCGTCACGTCGCCTGGCGTTCGCTTTGATCGCGAAGACATTGACTATTACACCGTCACAATAATCTGTCGCGACCACGGAATGCCACCTCTGACGTCATCGATCGAGCAGCTGGTAGCGGTGATTGACGAGAACGACAACGAACCATACTTCACCGACGATCAACAGCTATTATTGGTCTACGAAAACAAACCAATAGGAACCGAGGTAGGTAGAATAAAAGCTGGAGACTTGGATGCCGGCCTGAACAGTCAAATTAAATTTTCACTAGAGGGTCAGAAGGAAGTCCTTGAACTTGTTGAAATCGATCCATCTAGTGGCTTTATGCGCACAAAAAATCTTATCGACAGAGAATTAATTTCCAAACTGGACTTACTTGTCGTCGTCCGTGACTCGGGCAGTCCTCCAAGATCTGCCAATTTGAAAATAACTATTCAAGTACATCAAACAATTTAGTTAAATTATAGAATTATAGATTGAATTAATTTGATATAACATTTTCATTAAGAATTTAATGAGTTGTTTAAAAACAGATTTTGGACGAAGACGACGAGGGTCCCATATTTTCCAAGAACAAATACACATTCGACGTCAAGGAGAACCAGCCAGTTGGCACGAACGTTGGCTACCTGACAGCAGTGGACGCAGACCAAGCACCAAACGACGTATTTTATTATGCATTAGAAAATAATGAGTTTGCCCACGTGTTCAGTTTGAATGCCAGTTCAGGACTTTTGAAAACCAATGAAATTCTCGATAGAGAGAAATACTCATCGTATTATTTAATAGTGCTGGCAAACTCCGGAAATTATTCTGACATCCACAAACCAAAGTAGTAACAATGATTGAATAATAAAATTCAAATTACTAAAGCTTTATATGTTTTTTTCCTAAGATTTATATCGAAAACAAATGTTATAATAAACGTGAAGGACGTGAATGACAATAGGCCTCAATACGTTTATCCCCTCTACAACGACACAATACACATATCAAATTTATCACCAGCCGGCAGCCTCGTTATTCAGTTGAAAGCTTTAGATTTAGATTATGAAAAAAATGCAGAAATGTCATTTTTTATAATATCAGGAAACGATGACTCCAAGTTCCGCATTGATCAAACGACAAATAATTTAATTGTTGCTAGAAGTCTTGAAAATATTAAACATGAAGAAATTGTATTGACGCTTCAGGTGTTTTTTCTTTTCTCTTTTCTCTTCTCAATTGAAATGGTCTGATTTGTATTTTGTGAAACGAATGAATGAATGAATCATAGACGCTTCAAATTAAAGGCTGACGGCGATCCTACTCGGTATTTTAAACGTTGGTTCATCGCGAAACTTGGGATCTTTTTGCATAAAGGTCAAACCCCTTCACCAAATAGCGTAAAATTTGTTTGGTATAAACCATAGACACCTTCAACAAAGGTGTTTTATGCACACAAACTTGTGTTCATTAAAATATTATATTCAAAACGAAATACATTTCGTAAATTAATTTCAAATTTTCAGTGTTGTTTTTCAACAAAATCTCCAAAATTTTTTTATAATCTGTTGCAAAATTGTTTGTGTTAAGTAGCATATTGTATGCAAATGAAACTATCACCATACTTTGCCTCTATTACCCAACTTAACCGTAATTAATATTTAATTAATTATTATTATTATCTATTTAATAATTTAATTTATTTATATAACAACTGTTATGATAATTACCGTCAAATGGCAATAAAATTTTGTTTAAGTTTTTTATATTTTTTTCAAAGTGTAACAACTTTAGATTCATTTGAAACTTGTCGTTGTAAACAATTTCCCGATCATTTTTATCAAAAATCAAAAACTTCAGCTTTCATCCACAAACAAGCCATTGTTTCGCTAGCTGTTCCGTCGATACAACAGGAGCATCAAAATATGACAGTTGTTTTGCTATGTTAAATTCTCTGTTACGTTTGAACGCTGGCAGGACGATCGCTTTATTTTTAATGTTTGTGACAACAAAGAAGAATTTTGGAGACAGGTAACACAGCTATGAAGATGACTGAGTGCTTTAATGTATCATCAGATTGCAAAAATAATTTTGTCGCCAATACTGATATCAGCAACACATTCAATGTTCACATCTTCGAGAGTATGGTTACAAAATGCACATTTTGTGAAGGAGGAAGCTCTTTCATGACCAACAAGTACTACATCAAAACCTGCAAGTTGCTTTTAGACGTTGACTTTGGTTGGTTGTTGTCAGAACGTTTGGGATATCGATGTAGAAATACCCACCACACCGTTGCCTGGCATTTTCTGAAGGATTTTGATCAAAAGTAAAAGGCAGTACATGCTGGAACTGATGATTAGAAGGAAGTACTTCAGCAGAAGCGATGTTGAATTTGGTTGTCGCTACAAATGCATCAGTTCTAAAATTTTTGAGATTGGAAACAAGACATTCAATTTTGAATTTTTTTTATTTTTTAGCACTTTCATTTATTTATTTCTAATATTAAACGAAAAAGCTGTTTTATCCTGCTCTGTTTTATCCTGCTCTGTTTTATACTGCTCTGTTTTATCCTGCTCTGTTTTATACTGCTCTGTTTTATCCTGCTCTGTTTCATCACAGAGCCGATAAATTGTGACATTAAAGTTTAAATTTCAGTTGTTTTGAAGCCATGAAACCAAGTTTTGTTAGGAACCCAAGTTTAAAACACCGATCGCGAGCCCCGTTATTTCTTAATTTAAGTTGTCTATGGAATGAATGAACGAACGAATGAATGAATAAACGAACGAATGAATGAATAAAACATTGATAACCTAATGAAGGTGAAAGACCACGGCGAACCTTCATTATCCAGTTACACAGATGTCAAAATAATCATAAGTGACAAAATATTGACAAACCAGCATTTGCTGAACGGTGGATCATTGTTTGGATTCAACACCGCTGCTGAGTTGCTGGCGGACGAGACTGTTGCAATTGCTCTGGCGGTGCTGTTAGCTGTAATACTAGTTCTAATAAGCATATTTACACTGGTCATTTGGCTTTTTGGTGTCGGTAGGAAAAGACGTCTAGAGTCGTATAACGGTCATGAAAGAAAAAATGTGAAGTACAAGAATAAAAAGAATAAAGCAGAAGACTGTCAGCAAGCTACTGTAACGTCCTTATCGGCAAACGGTCGCGCGGAGACTACCGTAGCACACAGTTCGTCCATTGAGAAGGAGTTGAAAATGGATTTAACTAATGTGCTGACCGATGACGCGAAAACAACGTCAAATCATCAGGTTTTTATTTTGTTTTTCTTTTTGAGAAACTATTATAGACCGTATATTTAATTTCAAACGATCAACCGTCAGCGTTTCAATTACAATGTCATCGATCATCTACAACTGCCAACATCCAACTGAAATCTCAATCAATCCATCTACATTTAATAAAGACGAATCACGATTTTAATGACTTCATAATTAACTAGAGAGGCTGAATTTTATTTTGAAGGTCCTGAATATGAGTGAAGCATGCGCAAAGCCCGTCGTGATGTTCGTCAAGGATCAGCACAATTACCCCGACGTCAATCATCGGGAAAACAAAAACGGCAACAAAGATAAATTTTTTAAAATAAATTGGATAAATAAAACGCCGTCATCTGACGTCGACGACAAAAGAATGAAGAACCACGTGGTGAACACAGGTGACTTTGTTTTTATATGCGCAATAAATATGCGTGCATGTGCGTGTAACTATATGCTCACGCGTCAGCCACAGTGTTTTGAACTGGCATCGCCCATTGTATTTTTTCCATTATAAACTTTACCGGAAGCTAGAACCGCAATGACGTCACGCATGCATATTAATTGGTCCGGGGATGTCGACCATAGTAGTTTAGGTTCGGGTAATTGGCGGGAGCTTAAAAATGGAATATAATGGCTTCCAGTTTGGATTAACTGGTCAAATGCAATTCTTATAAGATATTCTTATCGGTGGCGCTAACAGTTTTTTGTCTGAACGCTTGTCTGCGTGGCTACCCGATTCAAATTTGATAATTTTGACGCAGGTTAAACGCATTTTTTGTTATCAGTTATCTTTGGTTCGTGTTGATTCTGTATTGATTAGGGCAATCAACCTGATTTCGGTAAACTCCCTTTTTTTATTTTTGTAATAGTTTATAAAGATGCTACATCTTTTTTTTTGAAAAACCAGATTGGTACATGAATCCCATCGTAAATGCAGCCGACAGCAGTAAGTTTAATTTCATTTATATGAATAGCTAAGATGAATTCCTATTAATATTAACATAAATTAACATGATAAGAAGCATGGTAATAAAATAATTTGACAAAATGCAGCCTTATCAAGGCCTGACAAAGCACAGCACTACCAGTCTGACCTCATTGAATTCAACAGTGGATTTTCCAACTTCTCTCTACTGAAACCATTTTTATTAAATGAAAACTTTTCATCTCCAAAGTATTTGCCTCAAAACAGAGAATTTGAACAATGGCTGGACGACATATGAGCCGTTCAACCATTCGTTAAAGCTTCTTTGAGCAACACATAAAAAGCTATTTATTCAATTTCTAATTTATTTTCTATTTTATTTTTGTGTTCCAATTTATGATATATCTGTGTAATAAAATATAAAAAAAATGGAAAATAAAAATAATTGCTCTGAAATGTTGAATATGTACAAAAATTTTAGTGATGCCCAGCGCAAAGCTAGCTCTTTAGTTCTTTCACTGTCTGTTAGAATAGAGAAATATTAGGGTCAACAATAAAAGCTACTGAACAGAAATTTTAATTTTTACAAAAATTTACGTCAACAACATCAAAATTTGCTATTACTTTGGCAGCCTCCTCAAGAGATGAAATTAATCTCACCAGGTAATCCCTCTCAACTTCGATGTTCAAATGTTTTGAACCATTCCCATTCGTATCATTTGAAAGTTCCAACTTTAAGTTTAAGTGTGGATCATACATCGCAGCTAACTTGTCGTTAGCAAGCGAAAGCTATATTAAATTAAATTTATTTGAAACTCATTCAAGTTTTTAAATAAAAGCAAAAAATCCACAAAAATTTAAATTCCAAGATAAAAATCTTACATTAACTTCCCAGTCAAAGTTTTTTAAATAGCAAGGCTCCTGTGACTCAACTTCACTCAGTAAAATTATCCTCAAATCATTTCTTCTTAACTCCAGGACATCCCAAATGACTTGATTGTAGTCATCCGGCAGATGTTTCAGTTGATCTTTGACCTGACCGTGTTACATTTACTTGAGTTCAAATCTTTAACTAACTTAATTTTATAAAAAAAAATAAAGTAAAAATTATAAATAGTTATAATTATTACCATTGCTATTAACAATAATAATAATATTAATTATTATTATTATTACTATTATACAGACAACATCATAAATTTAATATTATTATAAGAATTTAACAGTTAAAAATTAGAGTTTATAAAAACTAATATATAAAAAAAAAAATTTGAAAAAAATTACAAAAAAAAACCATCAAACAGTGTCACGTGATGCAGTTCTCAGTGCTTCTTTATAAAAATTCAAAATGCCTTCTTTCACATCCAGCCATTCCTCAAATGTCCAAGAGGATGAAAATTTTGCATAAGGTGGTCTAATAACATCGCAGTATGAATTAATCACATTATGTAAGAACTGTGAAAAAAATGATTAAATCATATGTCATAATTTCAAGTTGAGTTTAGATTAGCTCAATTCAATCAAACATTCAAACACACATTCATTAAATTTAAATTTCAATATTAATTACAAATTTGGTAAAACATCTTAGTGCAAGCCGTAATTAGTAAAGTTACTGGAAGAAATCATCTATCTATCTATCTATCCATGCAAATGTTAAAGTAGAAAAAATGCATGTAGTATTTTTATGATTGTTGATACATAATTACATATATTCATAAATATTATATATATATACATTTATTTGATATTTATTTATGTATATACAATACAATGACATATAAATATATTATAGCAATAAATATATATATATATATTATATTATATTGGGATATGTAATACAGTGCTTTTCAAAGTGGTGGTCTAGCCGCTACTAGTTCACGGCGAGCTCCCAAAATTTTTTTAAATATTCAAAATAAAAAAATAAAAATAAGACTTGACCAGCAACACAAAAAAAAATTCAATAATTAGTACTGGTGAGATAAGAATAGAAGTGAGAACACGAGAGCCAGAATGACCTCCGCAACTAATGAGATTCATTGTTCTAAATTGGCGAGATAAGTATATATGTGAGGGTGGTCAGCTATTTAAAAAAACATGGTTAGAGTGTGAGATAAGTATGAAAGTGAGCAAGAAATAGTATTTCACGCGTGATATATTAACCGTAACAGTATATATATATATATATATAATAATATATATATTGTGTAATGGTGGTCCGCAGCATGCCTATTAAATTCCGTACCAGTCAGCGGAACAAAAAAGTTTGAAAAGCACCGATGTAATACATTATATTATAATCATCATATTCGTTTACCTAATTAAATTAAATTAATTAATATTCAATGAAAAACATACAGAGGCCAACTTATCCAGTGGACATTTTGTTATCAGTTCCATCAATGATTGAATAGTGGTTTTTTTTCTACTAGTCCAGTCTTTAGTCTTTAGTGAATGGTGATTATGATTAATTATTAATCAATCAGCTGATGAACCAAGTGGAGATTTAAATTTTATAATCTAAAAAATTACAAATAAATATCATTATTAACAAATTAATTCATATATATAATATAGTATATACTATATATATAAAAGTAAAATGATTTTATTGAAGAATTATCATCAAAATCAAAACAAACCAATAAAAACTCGATGAGGATATGAAAACCATCAAAATAAAATTATTCAAATTCAAAGAAATTCAATTCAATCACAACAATAGTTATGTTATGTATATCTATTATATAACTATAATATAACTGTATAACAGTTATAGTTATTTATAGAGTTTGTTATACATAGTTATTCAGATTGACAAATTCCTTCACATTCACAGACCGCATCGAAGAAAAACAAAACAACAAATCAAATTTCAAAATTTACCTTTCAAACATAAATCGATGATAAATTACAATTTTTCGATTTAATCTTTTAATGCCACTCAACTTAATTTTAATAAATTAAAAAATCAATGGAAACGAAACTCCTATGTAAACAAGGAGGTGTGACACGAAAAGTGAATGCTAGTTATAAATCAGTATGCGGTATTGAAAAAAGGTTAAAGGTTTAAAAAGGTTAAAAGTCTATTGCAAGAGATAAGAGATAAGAGAAATATTCAAATAATGAAAATAACATACTTCAGTTACATACAAAAATAACAACTCGACGAGAATATTTTAAAAAACTAATCCAATAAAGTAATACAATACTTATAAACAACAAAAATCTCTATATATTTTATTTTGTTTTATGTCCCTTGGAATTTTACATTTAAAACTGTTTCTATAGAACGAAAATAATTTCTCTATAATGAATAATATTTATAAAAGTTGAGAGAAATATCCGACCAGCAAACATACTGTGAATTGGTATGAGCGGTGTTCTTTACTCCTTTATTATCTTAGAACCATATTTATTGTTTCTTTTTCTAGTATTCTTGTAATTTTTGCGAATTCTAACCCGATCAATTTCAGTGGAATCGGAATCATCGTTATATAGAATAAAAAATAAATTTCCCTTTTAAAATTTTATTTTTTACAATTATACCATGTATGTAATCAAAATAAATTTTGGGAGGTTGTGTTTTCATAAATATTAAGCATGTAAACACCTTCTAGGCAATATAGAATTTTTCCTGAACAATATCTATATAAGAAAATTTCTATATAACCATATATATGTATATAACAAATTTTTTCCTGGAACCATCAAATTCGTTAAAAGGAGGTTAGACTGTATTTAAAAGTGATGCATCTAAGACGACATTTTTAACAAACTTTAAGTTAAAAATTCATTCAAAATAATTCAAAAATTTTAAAATTAATGAACTTGGAATTTTATAAACCTATAACAGATGTATAAAATATAGTGGGAAACATGAAAAATAAGCAGCACCAATCTTTGAAAAATTAATTGAAAAATGTTAAAAGCTCGTTCAATTGAACACAAACATTTCAAAGCATCGATATTCATCTTAAGATATCACCATTAATTGATTAATTCATTCATTCATTCACTTTATCAATCAACCAAAACCAATTATTTATTCGTTTGTTCCTTTGTTCGAACATTTATTTACTACTACGCTATAAAAAATTTTGTCAACAGAATGATGAGAGGCGGGCAGTGGTGAGAGTCGGCACGTTTCAGATGGTGGTCTCATGATGATTTACAAATGATGATGGTAGTGCAGGAAGAATCAGCTCGTTGGCGGTTCATCTGACACTCTGCAATTTGGATGACATCTTGTGTGCCGACCAGATGGGGGTGGTAAACACATATACGATAAACACATATACGATAAACTCATATGTATCGAGGGTCAAGTTAGTCTTTCAGCTAAATTTTTGTGTCAGGGTTTCGAACTTAATTGAAAATAAGAATTGTCGTTGGACGATATTCTGTTGGTCAATTGTTATGTTTATTACATAGGATAATTTTTATTGTAACGTAAGATTTTAATAATCAAATCAGGTTTTTGAAGATACATTCAAAAATTTTTCATACAATTGAAAGAAATTATACTAAAAGTTGATCGAACATTGATGCTTCATTTCCCTACAATTAATACTTGTCTCGATCCATTTCTAGAAATACATTTATCGATCAATTCAAGAATGATTCGCAAGCGATCATCGAGCACCGTGTACCAGACCGATTTCAAAATTGGAGCGAGAGGATCAGACTTCAAGGCTGCCTTCATCATCTCAGACAGTTTGCCTCCTCTTAATTTTAACAGATTTTCGTAAGTACTTTTTCTCAATCTAGAAGAATCAAAATATATACTTGTAACTTTTTAATATTTTTTGCATATTTTATTCATCAAAAAGTATTGGGAAATGTTTAAGGCTGTTTTAGACTAACGTGCAACATTGATAGACTGGTGCCAGAAAGATATGTTTCTCGTGCTTGTCGTATGCACAGAACCTAAAAAAAAACAATTTTTTCATAAAGGCCACATCATGCAGAGGATACATGTAAAGAGTTTATAAGATATATAGATGTTTATGGAAACTACAACTCACGCTCTTCCGTGATCCAATCTGACGGTCAGCCCATGTGCAGACGAGCCGTCATCAACCGTGTAATGCTTCGTGTCGAAGTGGTACATGAGCGTATCGAGGACTGAGAAATCGAAGAGGTCCAAGTACATGCCGACCTCTTCGTACGGTTCAATCGTTTGTCGAACCTCGTCGCAGTACGTTTTGTTGTTGAAACCGTACACGCTCCATCTGCAGATCATTTTAAATAGTCTATAAAAATTTCGTTCCAAAACTGTCAGTGAATAAAGGACAAATGAATGTGTGCGTGAATAGATAAATGAATGAATGAACGAATGAATTAATGAAAAAAGTAATAGTAGACAAATGAATGAAAAAAATGGAAGGAAAAAAACACATGACAAACTTTTCCATGCGAGACGTGGAATATGGCATAAAAAGATCCGGTTTGGTGTGCAACTTCAACCTTCTCGGCACCCAGTAGGTCAGAGAAACTTCTATGATGTTGTCGCGTGGGCAGAGGCTGTGCTCCTGCTTGCAGTACAAACAGAAACCACGGACACAACTCTCGTTACCTGCCAGTAGGTAAATGTTTTTTTCTTCAGAAGGCTTGTGTAATTCAGAATGGCGAACGAATAATAATATTGGTCTAGCTAAGCTCTGATGTAAACCAATACATAAATGGATATAATAACGTGATTATATTCGTGTGTTTGTAAATGTTTATGAATAAGTTATATATAAAAAAAAATGAAAGCAACATATTCAAGCGAATAGGTCGAACCAGCTAACGTTTCTGTAATTTTGATTTGCCTGGCAACTGCGGGTGATGCGTTGGGGCGGATGTCCTTCAACAAATCCAACCTTCTTCCGACCACGATTGGAACATTGTGGAAGCCTAATATTCTATAAAAAAAAACACAAAAGTTTTGTTTTCTTTAATTATTTTCTATAAAAGTATTAGAAATTAAATAGAGGACCAACTAACGAATCAATCAACTACCCTACAAATCAACCAACTAGCCAGCCAACTAACCTGTGCAAATGAAAGGCAGCTATTTCTGACGTTGGCATTTCAAATCCGTCATTGCACAATCCGCCTTTCTTCATATCACCCTTGCTTTCCCTAATTGAAATATTTGTATAATTTACAAAAAAATTCAAAATAATAAATAAATTATGTTTTTAATAAACAGTAAAACATTAAATAATTTTTCTCTCAAATTAAAAAAAAAAACTTAATTACCGACCAAACAATTTTCAACATGGCCTTCTGGCCACCCTCCAGAGTGACGACCCACTTGTCTCCAGTGCCACTTTCATACTCCTCCCTATCCAGGACTTCCACGTTGACGATGCAAGCAGTGGCGAGTGCATCCAGAACATCCCGATAGATGGCACTTTCAGGATCCCACAGTCCCTGTCTCGATATCATCCGGTCAGCTGATTCCCATATCTGGTTAAATCTATACGCCAACAATTTTGTTTCGTTCATAAAAATTTTAACGAATCGCAATTTAACGATCTTTATGCATAGTTATATATATATATATATATATATATATATATATATATATATATATATATATATATATATAACAGCCGTTAAACTCATTCAGAAAGCAAAATTAGACAGAAGGGTCAAAAATTGTTTACCACCGTCAACAAGAATTAATTACAACATTTGTGATAATTAATTTTGAGTCATTTTTTTTTATTTTTGCCATCCAACCACCAGACAACCTACCTTTTAGTTCTTTCATTACTCTGTTTAGCATTGTGACAGGTTTGGTACTTGCTCTGACGATCACCATCTTCAAGTTGTCTACCCATCAGCATGTTCAAATTTTTGGAATGTTTGAATTCAAACTCATTATAGCTGACACCGGGTGGCCAAGGGATGAAGAGGCGTTCATCTATCGGAGATTTGTATTTCACGATTTGTACTGGGTTGTAACTTTCCATTTCCTGATCAGGGAATGTAGCACGTTCATTATCATTCAATATTCAATGTACTATTTGGTATCACTCATTCAGCAACACATGTGAATGCATCAACGCCTTACACATATTGTGTGTGATAGGCGGAAACCTTTATGCAATCCAACGCAGACCTGCTCACTCCAACTATTACACCATCTCGTCCCCTAAATATAACAAGGTTGTATGACCGAAGCAATTTATTCAAATGCAGCAATGGTGAAGTCAGTTGTTTTTTTAAGAGGAAAGAAAAGAAGTAGCCCTGCTAACCTGTTCAATTTCTTCGTAATCAATAAAATCATCGAGGTCAATGTTTCCCTTGAAGTCAATCACCATGGAGTATGTCAGGATACATACCACCATCACTAACAACACACCTGTCCTGATGTTTGATGATGATGGTAACGATGATGATGATGATGACGATGATGGTGTAGCTTGTCTTTGGGGCATTGTTGCGATAAATGTCTAAGTCTATTTGATGTATGCTAACATACTGGCGTTCATTTGTTGATTTGTTTATGGTGAAATAAGTTTTAATGCAAGTTTATTTTTGACGAGAAATACAAAATATGGAACATATCCTTTTAAATCCTTTGAATAAAATGCGCAATCAATCAAATCTAATGATATAAATCTAATTTTTTTTATATTCAAAATTAAATGTTCGAACTTGTTACCAAATTTCCCAGCAATATTAAGTTAAAGTGAACTATTTAACATATCATTCTATTTCAATAAATGCTCAAAAAATTTTCAGACTGAATGGGTAACGTGAAGAAATAGTTGAACACATGAACACGTACATACATTCATAAATACGAACGTAAAGCGAACACCTGACTAATACAAACATTACATGTTTACTCAAACAACTACATTCACAAGGTTCGAAAAAGGACTTCTTTCACTCATTAGTTTCATTCTCTTTTCTTTATTCATTTATTTAGCAAACCAATCATTCACTCATTCATTCATTGTGTGGCTCACGTTTAGCCATCATTCATTCATTGTGTGGCTTGCATTTAGCACCAGGACGTTGAAATAACTTCGTAAACATTCAACGCTTGTTCAATGCTTTGCTTTTTATAGAATATATATATATATATATATATATATATATTTGTACAATATTCTATAAATTCTACCGAATGTTTGGCGTTAATATGTTTGTAGTTCGTTTTTTCGATTTTTCTCACTAAAGTTTCTTGGTGAACGTTTAGTTTATTTAATAAAATTCAAAATAAACTTATTTTCTGAATTTATGCTGCAAATAAGGCCATATTTCTATTCCGAATGAATCATCATCAGTGCGGTTAAGTTTATATAGGGAAATATTGACTATGTCAAAGTGAACTTAGATGGAAGGTTCCATCTAAGTTCACTTATATACATATATATTTTTTCACTCATTAGTTTCATTCTCTTTTCTTTATTCATTTAATTCATATATATATATATATATATATATATATATATATATATATATATATTGGTGGAGGTATATATATTTATTTAATATTTAATATTTTATTTATTCATCAATTCAAATCAAACAATTGTAAGAAATGAAAATGATACGGAGATCAGAAAAGAAAATATCTTATGATAGACCACCGTTAAACAGAAAAATTTCATTTCAAATAAAGAAATAGACATTAATACAAACAGAAATTTAAAATTAAACTTGCGTACAGGCTACAAAAATATTGACAATATAATGGATTGAAACAGCATAAAAACATTGACACGTAGTCCAGCGAATAAACCAATAAAAATTCGTTATTGACAAAGTATAAATACAGTAGACAAAGAATACTGTTCAATGATATTATGATGATCGTGTCCACATACAAACACGAGCTTACACATGTTTACATATAAACACATTAATACACATGCACACATATGCGCACATACACACACATTTATACATTCCTAATCCTATAACAACATATATATAACCCACATATATGTATAATAACATAGTATATCTAAATAGTGATATCATGTGTACA